TTCAATGGCTGCAAAATATACATTGTTCTCTTCAGCACATAAATTATTCTCAAGGATAAACCATATGTTAGCTCACAAAGAAAGTCTTAAAATACCAAAAGCAACTGCAATAATATTAAGCATCCTCTCTGACCACAATATAATAAAACTAGAAATCATTAACAAGATGGATTTTGAAAACTATACAAACACATGGAAAGTAAACAAAATATACCTGAGTAACCAGTAAGTGAGAAAATTCAAATAAAATTTAAAAATGTATTAAAGCAAGTAATAATGGAAACACAACATACCAAAACCTATAGGATACAGTAAAAGCATTACTAAGAGGTAAGTTTGTAGCTATAAGGACCTACATCAAAAAAGAAAGCCTTCAAGTAAATAACCCAATGATGCATCTTGAAGAGCTAGAAAAACAAGTGCAAACCAAATCCAAAATTAATAGAAGAAAAGAAACAGTAAAGATCAAAGCAGAAATAAATGAATGAGAAATGAAAACATTGTAAAATATCAACAAAACATAAAGTTGTTTCATTAAAGTTAAACAACATAGACAAATCTTTAGCCAGACTAAGGAAAAAAGAGAGATCAAAATAAATAAAATCAGAGATGAACAAGGCAACATTACAACAATACTACAGACACTCATAGGATTATTTGTGACTAGTATCAGCAACGATATGCAAATAAATTGGGAAATCTAGAAGAAATGGACAAACTGCTAGACACAGACAACCTAAGCTTGAACCATGATGATATCCAAAACCTGAACACATAAATAATGAGTAATGGGATTAAGCCATAATAAAATGTTACCCAGTAAAGAAAAGCTTAGGATCTGATGGCTTCACTGCTTATTTCTATCAAATAATTAATGATGATCTAATATCATTTCTATTCAAACTATTCTGGAAAATAGAGAAGGGAATACTTCCAATCCTATTCTATGAGTCCAATGTTATCCTTATACCAAAACCAGACAAAGACACATCAGAAGATAAAAACAAACAAACAAAAAAAAACTATAGCCCAATGCCTCTGATGAATATTGATGCAAAAATTCTCAACAAAATGCTAGCAAACCAAATTCAACAACACATTAGAAAGATAGTTTATCATGACCATGTGGGATTTATCCTAGGGATGCAAGGATGGTTTAACATATACAAGTTAATTAATGTGATATGTCATGTGAACAAAATAAAGAACAAAAACTATATGATCATTTTAATTAATGCTGAAAAAGCATTTGATAAAATTCAACGTCTCTTTATGATAAAAAGCCTTAGAAATCTGGATATAGAAGGAATATATCTCAACAAAATAAAAGCAGTGTGCAACAGAATCACAGCTAGTATTAAACTAAATAAGGGAAAACTGAAACCCTTTCCTCCAAGATTGGGAACACAACAAGGATGCCCAACTTTTACCCAACATGGTACTGAAAGTCCTCCTAAAGCAATCAGACAAGAGGGACATAAAAGGCATTCAAATTGGAAATAAAGAGGCCAAGTTATCTTTGCTTGCAGATAATCTGATCTCATATTTGAATAAAACCTAAAGGCTCTACCAAAAAACTATTTGAACTGATAAACAAATTCAGTAAATTTGCAGGAAAGGAATCAACATAGAACAACCAGTAGGATTTTAGGCGCCAATAATGAACAATCTAAAAAGGAAATCAAGAAAGTAATTCAATTTACCTTAGTTACAAATTAAATTAAATACCTAGATATTAACTGAGCCAAAGAAGTGAACAATCTCTACAATAAAAACTCTAAAACATTGGTGCAAGAAATTAAAGATGGCACTAAAAAATGGAAAGATATTTTATGTTCATGGGTTGGAATGATCAATGTTGTTAAAGTGTCTATGTTACCCAAAACAATCTATGTATTCAATGCAATCCCTATCAAAATACCAATGACATTTTTCATGAAGATAGATAAAACAATGCTAAAATTTATGTGGAAACACAAAATATCTAGAATAATTAAAGCTATCCTAAGCAAAAGAAAACAAAAAGAAAACTTGAGGAATCACATTACCTGAGTTCAAATTATACTATAAAGCTATAGTAACCAAAATGGCATGATACTGGCATAAAAGCAGATATGGAAATCAGTGGAACAGTATAGAGAACCCAGAGATAAAGCCATATGTCCACAGTGAACCCATTTTTGACAAAGGTGCCAAGAATATACACTGGGAAAAGGATAGTCTTCAATAAACGATGCTGAGAAAACTGGATATCCATATACAGAAAAATAAAACCACAACACTATCTCTCACCATATGCAAAAATCACCTCAAAATGGACTAAAGATTCAAATCTAAGATCTCAAACTATGAAACTATTTCAAGAAAACTTTGGTGAAACTCTCTTGAACATCGGACTGGCAAAGATTTCTTAAGTAATATGTAAATAGCACAGACAACCATAGAGAAAATGGACCAATGGACCACACCATGTTGAAAAACTGCACAGCAAAGGAAACAATCAATGAAATGAAGAGATAACCCACAGAACTAAAGAAAATATTTGCAAACTACTCATCTGGTAAGGGCTTAATAACCAGAATATGTAAAGAGCTCAGAAAACCTCTACAGTAAAAAATCTAATAATTCAATTAAAAAATGGGCAAAAAATCTATATGAATATATTTCCAAAGAATAAATACAAATAAATATTTTTCAAAAAAATAAATACAAGTATATGAAAAGGTGCTAAGCATTATTAATCATTAGAGAAATGCAAATAAAAACTACAATGATATATATCCTCGTCCCAGTTAAAATGGTTCTTCAAAAGTCAAGCAGTAAAAATGCTGGTGAGAATGTGGAGGAAATGTATATGAATCTTCATACACTGTTGGTAAGAATGCAAATTAATATAAATACTATGGAGAACTGTTTGGAGGTTCCTCAAAAACGAAAAATAGAGATACCTGACGATCCAGTAATCCCACTTCTAGTGATATACCCAAAAGAAAGGAAATCAGTATATTGAAGAGCTATATCCACTCCCATGTTTATGGCAGCACTATTCACAATAGCCAATATTGGAAGCAACTCAAGTTTACATCAAGAGATGAATGGATAAAGAAAATGTGATACATATATACAATGGAGCCATAAAAATTCAGCCAATAAAAAATACACACAAATCAGCCGTAAGAAAGAATGAGATCCCATCATCAGCAACAATATGGGTGGAACTGAATGAAGGCTATTAGGTTAAGTGAAATAAGCCAAACACAGAAAGACAAACTTCACATGCTCTCACTTATTGTGGGAGCTAAAATTTTTTTCAATTGAACTCATGGAGATAGAGAGTAGAAGAATGTTTACTAGAAGCTGGGACGTGTAGCTGGGGGAGGATGGGGAAGTGCAGATGGTTAAGGGGTGTAAAAATATAGAAAGAATGAATAAGACCTAGCATTCACTAGCACTACAGGGTGACTCTAGTCAAAAATAATTAATTGTATGTTTTAAAATAACCAAAGAGTATAACTGGATTGTAGCACAAAGGATAAATGCTGGGGATGTGGATACCCCATTTACCATGATGTGATTATTACACATTGCAAGACTGTATCAAAATAACTCATGTAACCTATAAATATACATACCTACCATGTATTTTCAAAAAATTAAAACAATTTAAAAAGAGTATATTTTGTCCTATTTTATATCTGCATGCATAAAGGCATAATGGATTTATTGACAGACCAGAGATTATGAACAGATTAAATGTCCAAGATGTGATTCAAACTCTATTATCTACTCCAAAGTCTCTGCTCTTACTACATGTCATACTGCCTTTGTTTTAAATTTTTGGAGACAAGTCTTCCTTTACATGGAAAAACCATAGTCAAGGAAAAGTCATACTAGCAAATGCAAATCATGTAAACACAGTCATAATTTATTGAATCGCTTTTTTTGTATGTCCATGAAAGAAAAGTTATAGAGGAAGTAGGATTATGCAGGATTTATTTAAATAATACCTGAGGCACTTCCTTTGGATGTGAGCTGGATGACAGAAGCCTGTGAATATAAGTAAGCTTTGGCTAGCAGGTGAGAACAGAGACATTAATGAGAATGACGAGATATTTTTGATAGAGGATGCAGTATTCTCAGAGCTGAGATGTTACAGGGAGATAAAAAATACCTCTATGTTTTCCAAATCATACAACCCTTTCATGACAATCAATTTATTTCACACATACTCTGTTAAGTGGACATGGTTATTTCTCCTATTCTAGAATAAATATAAAATTGCAAAATTTAAGTGACTTCCTAAAAACTCAGAGACCCACTGGTGATGGCATTAAGTTCTGAATGGTAGGGGTCTCTCTGAGGGATTACTACTTCATGTCAGCCAAGTGACAATGACTAAGAGAGCAAGTGGCCTTTATCTGAAAGGCTTGTGAGGAATAAAAATTTATGAGGTAAAAAATACAGTTTCCATTAAGATGATGAGGTAGAGGAAGTGTTCTAGAAAACTGTTTTGAATGTCAGTATCAAATGGAGGATTGAGAGTAATTGTTAAATAAATTAGGAGGCTGATTGTTGGCAGAGAAGCTGGCAAGTGACAGTAAAAGCACAGCAAGACTCAGAAGGGAACACAGGGAATGTGGATCAGATAGATATTCTCCTATTTGCAACGATGGCTTCCAAGTAGCAGGCATTTATCCAACTAACATGCAGTTCAAGAGAACTACTATATGCCACACCTATTCTAGGCTCTGGGGATACAGGTTTAAAAATAAATGGTACTTTCTTCAAGAAGTTCATTATCTAGCTGAATAAATAGACACTCAATTACAAAGTAATAAGGTGGTCCAATAATAGAGGAAATCATTAGTATTAGGAATACATGAGTGGAAAATCAAAGGGCTCTGTATAATATGGGTGGTGTGTGAGCAACAGTGACACGAAATGAAACTAAACAGTATGCAATATAATCATGAAAATCTGTAAATTCCACGTTTAAGAGTTTAAGTTACATCTTCTACGTAGGACGAAGCCACCGGGAAATTTTGAGCAGGGGTCTAAAATATCAGAGAGGATTTTTGATTTAGAAATATTACTTCAGTAATTTATAGATTGTTGATTGGATAAAAATGGACATGAAAGTTAAACCTGGCAGAGGTGTAGGTTCAGTTGATGAGAGTCTGATTTATTCTAGTATAGGTAGAGGGGGCTTGAGTGGAAAATGATATGGGGGAATGAAAGAATAGAAAGGCAGTATATTCATTAATAATCATAAGTGTTACGCATAAAAATAATCAGCTCCAAAGTTCTTATTTTGTTTAATCAGTGTCATTGCAAGTGATTTGTCATTAATACATAGTGTTCCTTTAAGCATTTTAAGTCTTAGAAAATAGAACTGCTGGGGCAAGTTGACAGAGAAAATGAAGGTATTAACACTAACCTGAAAGTCCATTATATTGTCATTCAAAGTGTTGTCGATATTTTTTCTTTGTTGATGGTTGTAAAGTGACCTTAACTTTCTTTGTTGGCTAGATGACCCTGGCTTCCATTTCTGGCCAGATGACCCTATATCTCCTTGCTGGCTAGATGTCCCTGGCTTCCCCTGCTGCTTAGAAGATCCTAGATCTCCTTGCTGGCCAGATGACCCTAGATTTCCTTGTTGACTAGATGCCCCTGGCTTCCCTTGTTGGCTAGATGACCCTGGTTTCTCTTGATGGCTAGATGACCCTGGCTTCCCCTGTTGGCTAGATGACCCCGGCTTCCCTTGATGACTAGAAGACCCTGGTTTTCCTTGTTGGCTAGAAGATCCTAGATTTTCTTGTTGGCTAGATGACCCTGGCTTCCCTTGATGGCTAGAAGACCCTGGTTTCCCTTGTTGGCTAGAAGATCCCACATTTACTTGTTGGCTAGATGACCTTGGCTTCCCCTGTTGGCTAGAAGATCCTGGTTTCCCCTGCTGGCTAGAAGATCCTGGTTTCCCCTGCTGGCTAGAAGATCCTAGATTTCCTTGTTGGCTAGATGACCCAGGCTTCCCTTGCTGGCTAGATGACTCTGGTTTCCCTTGATGGCTAGATAACCCTAGATGCCCTTGTTGACTAGAAGATCCTAAATTCCCTTTCTGGGTAGATGACCCTAGATTCCCTTGTTGGCTAGCTGATCCTGGCTTCCCCTGTTGGCTAGATGACTCCACCATCACTTTCTGGCTAAATGACCCTGGTTTCCCTTGTTGGCCAGATGACCCTGGATTTCTCTGATGGGTAGAAAATACTGGTTTCCCTAGTTTGCTAGAAGATCCTGATTTTTCTTGCATATTAGAAGATTCTGGATTCCCTTTTTGGTTAGATTTTCCTGAATTCTTTAAAATCCCAGGCTGGTTCAAAACTCCTGGTCTTCCTTGCTTAAAATTCCTTGGATTCCCTAGCTTGTTAAAATATCCTGGTTGTCCTTGAAGACTAAATGTTCCTGTATTTCCTTGTGTATAACTACCTCCTTGCTTATTAGAATCCCTTTGTCCTCCTAGGTGGTTAGCTTCATTTTTTTCCTCCAGAATATGTGCAGCTTCTGGATTCTGGTCTCGTTTGAAAACACTGGTATTTGAAATCTGGGTTGAAGATGCTGGAATGATAACACAACCAGAAAAAAAATGAAATAAAGTTATTTACATTAAATAATTGTAAATCAACAACATTTGTCCAAGATATAGTTTGTTTTTAATGCTTTTTTGATTTTTTAACCAAGCCCCAAGGTAGAATCTTCCCATTCTTCCTCATATCATGAATATTTGGGTTCCTTCCTTTTTTTTCTTCACTGTACTACATAAATTTCAAAAATTAGAGGTCAATCCAACCTGCCTCATTTCTAAATCACAAAGTCTGTATTATGTAAATTGAGCCATCATTCTACCCCCAATTCCTTTAAGTGTTTTCTGATGAATCAAGCTGGCTCTGCACACTGCCTATTATAAACTTATTTTTTCACATCAAATACTTTATTCCTAATTTTCCAGCCTTACTTTACAGATGGTGCCATCAACTTTCTAGACAGGAAAAGGCTGGCAGACATGAGCCCTACTTTCTTCTTCTCTCTTCCAACCCTGTACATACTATCTGTAGCCATCTTTCTTTCCAGTTCCATCCCCAAAACAGATGTTTCCCTTCTCCTTCAGAACGTATTTCTTTCAATCAGCTTTATGTTCACCATTTCCAACAAAAGGCCTTAGGATCAACAATGCTCTCTCTGGTGATTATATTTCTTATTTCTATTTTGGTTAAATGAGAATGGTAAATATCATGATTATTTCTTAAAACCTATGTTTTATAGCTCCTCCAATTTATTTTGGAGGCTTACTTATGACCTAATGAAATATATATATTTATTGTGGATAATGAAATATATATATTTATTATATATAATGAAATATATATTTATTATTTATATATGATAAATTATATTTATTATATATTTCATTATGTAATGAAATATATAATTTTTATTATATATTATAAATATATAATAAATATAATAAATTTAAAATAAATATAAGTATATTATATATATTTCATTATATATAATAAATATAATTTAGTACCTATATAATTATATATTTGTGTATTTCAGACTTATACCTAGGGTCTCACTTTAATTTTCGATTGCTTTGCTTTATATTTCCATAAATATACGCATTTGTACCTTCAAGTCAATTTAATATGTATATAATTGTGTGTGTATATATGTTTTATGTTTTTTCAGATTATATTCCAAAATGAACAGGATCTAGAAAATAATGAATAAACAAACGGAATGACTTTAGAGCTAAATATAAAAGTATTGCATTGGGCATCCATTTTTTTTTGGAAGAAGTGCATATTTTTCTCATCTTTTCCTTCTTTCTTGATAATTCATCTTTTTAAATTCACTTTCCTAATATGGGGTTCTCTTAAAGGTTTTAATTAGGCTTACATTTTGTTTTCTGCATAGGCTTCCTTGCTATTTTTTTCAATATATGCAATTTAAAATCATTCCACTGTTGATTATTTCAGACTTATACTTAGGGTCTCACTTGAATTTTCAATTGCTCCGCTTTATATTTTTACAAATATACATATTTTTACCTTCAAATCCATTTAAGTAAAGTCAAACGATAATCAGTTAGTATGGGCTGAGCATGCTGACGGTATACTACTGCAGGTGATTAAGATCTTGTCCAAGCACAGAAGCTTAGCTGTTAGCAATCTGCTATTGTAAGTAATGATTCTATGAAAATCCTAATAATGCATAATTTCTTACATTGATAAGTAAATTTATGAAATAAAAACTAGGAGTGAATTTTGGAGTGGTAAGAGGCAATTAAAATATTATAATGTGGTTTCACTATCTATTTTTTTAAGCGAAATACTTGGGAAATAAGTATCTTCAGCTTTGTTTTGTTTTGTATTTTTTTCCTTCTGATTTTACAAACACTAGGATGTGTTTAGCATTGCTTTTCTGATTCGTCTCTCTTCTTCATCTTCCAATCTATATAAATATAACCACTAGATATGTATTAGTACCACATCTGGTACTAATTAACACACTTTCTTCCATCAACAAATAACTTCTAGCATTTAGCAAGGCACTGAAGGTCACAACAGTTACAGTACCTGCTATAATGAAATATGAAATATATGTTCTATAAAGTAATTTTATATGTATATCTGTTTCCCTATTAAACACACACACACACACATATCGTTCTCCTCCTTTCTCCAATTCTATCTCTTAGCCCTCCCTTTTCCTTAACTCTGTTACTTCAGCAGCTCCTCAGTGGCATTACTGTACAGCTTTTCTTACGTCTAATTTATTTTCAATATTACTACATGACTGATCTTTCTTAACAAGATGAATATAATCACTTTTGTACTCAAAACTCTGAAACAGCTTTGCAGTATTTTCAATGAGAAGAGAACCACAAATATAAGAAGTGGAGGGTCTGAGGCACTTTATTATTTCATTTCACTAGGTATAAGAAAAATGGTCAAGTGGGAGCTTATGATTTGGAGATAAATTAGAATCCATTTCATTATCGTAATTTTTATCTTTAGAAATGAATTAACTGAGTTGATTATTATCTTGAGAAATTTACATCTCAAAGCTAGAAATTTACATCTCTGAAAATCACCTACCTATACTGAGGTAAGGAATAGAGAAAAACAAGTTGAGAGTCAAGTACCTAGAAAAACTCAATTAATGGTAACTAAAGCTATTTATCTGTATAGTTCCAGAAAACAACCCTATAAAAATGTATGAAAATTTTAATTTTGCAAATTAGAAAATTGAGATTCAAGTAAGTTTAACAAGTTTCCTCAAATCACATGAATGGGAAAAAAAATCAGGATTTGAACATATTATTATTTGACCATACAGCCCAGATCATATCACAAAACCATTTCCTTATAAACTATGAACTTGAATATTCACAAATTCGTAAGCCTTTTAGTCTAAATTCATCTTTCTAGTCTAATGTCCTGCCTTCCCTAGTCCCCTGTACCTGTTTCTCTTCCACCACACCAAACTATTCACTCTTATTTCATTCAATCACTATATTTATGACTTTGGATCTATATTTATTTCGTTGGAAATTTATCTTCTTCCATTTCTCTGTCTGATGAATTATCTATTTTTAAATCTTTTGACAAAGTATTGTTAAATCACTTAACATTCCTAATTCTTTATTTTGAGAGTCGGAAGGAAAGCTGTTGACTGTGACTTTCTTACCTGAGAACATGGCCAGGAGCATGAAGGAAAAGAAAATGAAAGCCCCCATGGTCAGTTGTTTCAGACTTGACTGTTGTGCGAGGTAAGCCTAACTCTGCAGCAGGTGCTCTTCAAATAAACCATGCTGATCACCACCATGTTATATATTTGAAAAGCTCTTAACCCTAACTGTCAAACACTGTCACTGTCTTTAATAAATTACAGTCATTTTCACAAACTGGAAGGTATTGCTTCTTGAATGAACTGTTATTTTCAAAATTAGCTTCATGCCCCAACTCTCACAAATATTCAAACTTTAATATGTGTCTATTAGATATCTTCTTTCCAGAAGAAAATTAAAATGATGAAATCCATGTGGGAAAGTAGTAAATTCAGTGTTCACATTTTTATTGTTAAGGGATGGCTTATCTTCAGTTAGTATTATGATATGTTCTCCAAGTTTATATGACCACAAGAGAAATTTTCAAGTGAATTATACGTCAATTATGTACCTCAAATTATCTTTTAAAAGCAGGTAAAAATGCATTGAATATTGGTCATTCATAGTAATGAATGTATACAGTATTCATCAAAATGAACGATGACAGGTAATACATTTTTATGAGGCAACAGGATACAGTAGATCTCATGTTTAAGAAATAACATTACACAATTGGCATTGTTGCTTCAAGTTATTATGTCAAACAGCAGCTCATGTGAAAATCACCTTGGGATTTTTAGTTGGTCATAAGCTCAATGTTATAAGACATTGGAATATTGTCTTCAAGACTGGTTTCTCTAAGTAAGAGAAACTTGAATCAATGGGGCATGTCCAAAAGGTAACTTTGATAATGTGAGGTCTGGAGACCATAAAGCATGAAGTAGATTTACAGCAGTAGGAAATGTAAGCTCAAATCGGCACAAACTCAGGACTGTTACCGTCATTGACTTCATTTTCTCAAGGGCATCACACTGGAGAAGACAAATATTTTTTGATCTGTTTAGTTACAGATAGCAGAAATAGTAAAAGGAAGTAGAGAATAAATATTTTAGAGTTCTAAAGAAAATTTCAACTTTAGGAGGAGAGATGAACTAGATGATTTTTACAATTACTTCCAATTCTAAAATTTTCAGAATTAGTGGTTCTGGCTTGTATTTGATTTTCCCTTCAACTTATTTAGAAGAAGGAAAAGTTTGAAAATGATAGGTGATTTATTTTAATCAAGAAAGCAATTTTATGGCATCAAAAGAGACAAAGTTTAAGTTTCCTATAGTAAGAAAGCAACTTTTACTCCCTGCATAATTATCTTCTAAATTGACTGGAATTCATATGAGTGTCAAAAGAAGCTTATAGAACTCAACAGCATTGGATTGTTTATACACAGACACAAACATGCATATATATACGTATATGCACACATGTATATATATATATATATACACACACACACGGATGGATTTTTATATATATACATATACATGTATGTGTGTTATATACACACACACTCACACACACGCAGATCAGGTGAATATTTCAAAAATTTTATTATGAACAGCTGAGATATACAGGCAAAATTAAAGAATTGTGCAGTGAAAACCCATTGGTATGGTTTGGCTGTGTCCCTACTCAAATTTCATTTTGAATTGTAGCTTTCATAATTCCCATGTGTTATGGGACAGGCCCAGTAGGAGATAATTGAATCATGAAGCAGTTATATTGTTCTTGTGTTAGTGAATAATTCTCACAAGATCTCGTGGTTTTATAAGGGGAAACCCCTTTTGCTTAATTCTCTCTTCTCTTATCTGCTGCCATGTAAGACATGCCATTTGCCTTCTGCCATGATTGTGAGGCCTCCCCAGCCACGTGGAATTGTGAATCCATTAAACCTCCTTTTCTTTATAAATTACCCATTCTCAGGTATATCTTTATAAGCAGCATGAAAACGGACTAATACGCCAATACACGCACCATCAAGATTAATCAATTACCGTTTTCCTATATTCTACTATATCGCTATCAAAAAAGGTAAATTTTATAGAAGTTATTTTCACATGCAGATACTCATTAATGGAACTCAATGTAGTAAAGTTTCAAATAACAAATGGGTCACAATAGATGCATTTGTATTTTGCCTAAACAATTTCCTCTTAAACACTCAATGCTATCATCTGTCCTCCCCATGATTTTTTCTAACTCCAATACTGCTAATATATCACAATAACAATTTCAATAATAAATATTGCTGAGTGCCTTGTAGGTCAGGGTACTTCAGTAAAAAAGTACACTCTCATCAAGTTTATACTCTGAGGTTTCAGAGACTGTCTATTTGTACAAGGTGTTCTTGGTTGCATGAAGATTGCTCTCTCTTTATGTACCTGTTTTCCAAATCATTTCAGAAAGCTTTTGACTACTTTTTTTAGTCACTGCAGTTATCTTAACTGAAACATTTACTTTTTCTTATAATAATGGAAATTTTTTCACCTGTAGAATTATCTTCCATTTTTACTCTCCTTCACATTTGAAAGTAAGCTCAAAATTCTGGCTTGGAACAGGCTCATCAACCCCACATATTTTAAGAAGGCGGATAATGTGTTTCATATGTCTTGAAGTAAGGTTATAGGCCAAGGCTTTTCTTTCAGTAGTCATTATACTTGGTGGAAATAACAATAGCAACAGAGTAAAATGACCCAAGGTGTCTGTCCTTTTTAAGCTATATGTCATGCAAGTTAATGTTAATCTCTCTCTCTTTTCTCTTTCTCTACATACTTAACTATCTAATCATTTCTTCACTTTGCCTACCTAGAGGGTAAAAAATAATGACAGCTATTCATAAAATGAGAGGATCTCAGCAAAATTCTAGTGGTTGAAGCTCTTTAGACAATTTATCAAAGGTGACTTAGGATTTTTGATTCAATATACATTTACTTTTTGAAGACGCAGCTGTTTGTAAGTGCATGTTGTTAATCGTGGTCTACTAAGGGGAACATAACTCTGAATCCTGGGACTCTTAGATTAAGAGGACTGTTTGACCTAGAGCAGATCTTATTTTGACATATAACTTTGTTTTTCGAATTGGATAAAGCTATCTCTCCCACAGCATTATAGTGAAAATTAAAGGAGTTAATTAATAAAAGTTTCTTCTAAATTAAAAGTGTGAGATTTAGTCACTATGAGTAACCATCTTTATCATCATCATAAAACAATCATGTTACAGCTTCAATCATTGACCAGTCTGGTCCAGAATTCCATAACACTCACCTGCAAAGAGGAATAAACAGGCAACACTGATAAAAAGCAGAAGGGTACCTGATGGCTTCTTGGTAAGTGAGATCTGCATGGTTTATAGAAAATATGTTAACAGAGTTCACTATTGACATTCCACAAGATGTATTTTAGGTGGCTATATACATGATTCTAAATACCTATAAATTTGGTAGTCAGCTACATTCTCTACCTTAATTATGTAATGCATTTCCCCCAAAAGTAGAGATACCAGAACCAAAGGAACTTCAGGCCTTTTTAAACATACAGGAACAATAGTCAAAAAGTAATGTTTAGGTGGAATGAAATGTACTACAAGTAACATACCCAGAATTTCCCCTGTTTAGCACATGGTGATAATTATAATCAAGTCATCATCTTCCATTTTGCATATGTTAGACCTGCCTCCAACAGAGCCTTGGGTCAGAGAGCTTTCATTTTGCAGTAACCTATGGGATGATTTGCACAATTTGTGCACAGTATTAGTAAGGCTTGGTGTCACAACTACCAGGAAAATAAAAATGCTGACGTGAGGAATTTTGTAGTCAAGGGATTTATTGGACAAAGTAAGAGGGCACTCTCAATAATCATTGAATTTGAAACTCTAGACATCGAGGTGAATATGAATCACGGGGCTATTGTCTTCAACCTCTTGCTTTTAGTCAGCCTATGCATGATGGTTTGTGGTTTATTTGTTTTACTTAGTTTACTTGTTACTTGGTATTGTTCACTTGCTAATCGTAACAAGAAATTCACAGGTTGATTTTGGTCCTTGTACGTATATGCCATGCATACTTGTGTTCTTTTTCTCAAATCCATCTCATTCGCTGTTTACCTTATAACTCTTGTTCTTACTATTTCCTCTGCCTGGAAAACTCCTGTCCCAGAAATGTAAATGGCCAGTTTCTTCTTTCCAGAAGTCACAGTTCAAGTATTACTGGCTCAGTAAAGATTTTCCTGTTTAAAATATTCCAACCCAAATCAATGTGTTTTATTGTCATCATAATACCTTTTAATATATGAAATTATCTTTTTTATTTCATTAAGTATTTGTATATATTCTCACCGTCAAATCTACATGTACATACACACAAACATATATATGAACACAGGTCCATATACACAAGGATGTAGCTCATGGATCTTTATTCTGTACTGTGTCTCCATGTGCAAAACAAAGTTTACATAGACAACATTTGATTTTACAAATGTGAACCAGTGAAAAGTCCTTTCTTCCTTTGAAGTAATAATTGAGCACTAATTATTCTAGGTATTATTAGATGCTGAAAATATTGTAATAACAAAAATATATTCACAGAGCTCACATTCTTCATTTTTTTCTCAAACGCTTGCTGGGTGGAACCTACTGTTTATTGGTATTTTAAAGATGAGAAAGAGAAGCTCACAGTCATCAGAAGAAAAAACAATTTAATTAAAGCTATAAGTAGAGAACCACTAAAGAGACCATATTCACTTGGAAGTGGGGTGGAGGAATGGTCCAGCAGAGACGGTCGTGACCAGGAACCACAAAGGACCTGGCCCTGAGAGTTATTAGAAGGTATTGAAGCGCTTGAAGGGATAACCAGCATTCTAAGAATAAAGAATCCTGTGGAAATAAAACAAACAAGAACTAAAGTATATTTTTTGGAAATGAGAGTAATGGTTAGACACAAATGCAGAGATGGAACTTAAGAAAAAAGGCTTTTATAGTCTTTGCTGTTTCTTGTACTTGGGATTCAGTAAGATCTTTGTATCTATGGGTTTATAGTTTCTATCAAATTAAGACTATTTCCATTACTTTTCCACATTTTTTCATACTTTTCACCAGCTGCATGAAGTTCCACAACTATTGCTCTCTTCCTGTTTTTTCTTCAG